ATCCGAAACCCGCCGACCCGCAAGAACCCATCTCACGGGAACCCGAAACCCGCCGACCCACAAGTATTCGTGGATAACCCGGGGAGAGAAAACGGGAACAGCGAAAGGGGCCTTTTGATGAATTCACATAACATCTTAGTAGTTGAATCTCAAATTCATCATGTCTTTATCATTTTGTCCGATGGAAACCCGAACCGCAGATAACCCGAGCTTCAGAAAGGGCCCCCTTGACCTCAACCTTACCCTCTCAGCCTCAACCCGAGCCTAACCCCCTCGCCGGTCGGATACCCGAGAATTGGGCGCTCCCGCGGGTACCCGGCCATCGTGAGGCTGAGACCAAGACACTCGGCCGAGGCCAGGTACACTGAAAACCCCGATACCCCTAGCGGGAATAGCAACAGCCATCTGCACATACTTCCATGTTGTCGTTGATAGCGATCTTTATCTGCTGCGCGGTCCAAGACGGATCAGCGTGGGCACCTCCGAGCGGTTCCTGTGCACAATGCAGGACGAGTTTGAGTTACTCATCGTTTCATTTTCACAGAGAGAGATCGAGAGGCGAAAACGAAATAGCTTTCGGGTTACGGAAAAAGTTTACAGGCACGATTCCGTCGGCTACTTGGAGCTTGACAAGTTCCCGGGATGTAATTCTAAGCTTCTCTGCTGCCTGCACAGAAAGAGTTTCATCCTCTGCAACTTCAGATTCTACCCAAAAATCAAACGCGTAGAGAATGAAATTCTCGGGGATCAAGAACAGTGTGTACAGACCTCGGGAGCGGCCTTGGAATCCTTCCACAAGATTGCCGCACATGCCTCGGGACTGCGGAAGGTGAAACGAAAATCATCATATCATCTATAGGGGTGAGAAAGAAATAAAGCTCGGGAACTCGGATTTACCTAGCGACGTAGAATACCGCATTCTCAAGCATCAGCATTTTGTTAGCGCAGCCGATAGCTAGGGCACCGCCAGAACCACCTTCCCCGATAACAATGGAGAGAATCGGTACTTTCAGCCCGAACATCGTCCTCAAATTGTTGGCAATAGCTTCACCCTACATAATGTAGACATTTCCGGGTTGAGACATGCCACTCGGATCCCGCATACGCATAAACTCTAAATTTTTACGGTAATCTGATGATTTATTCATAATGCCAGGCTTGAAGGTTACAAAAAGAACGACGTGGGGCGAAAATAAAACATTATAAATCTCTAACGAGCTCTAGACCTACTTATTTCCTAATTTCTCGGCCCAAATATAGAAATAACCCGATAACAAACAAAATCCGAAAATAATAAAACCCAATAATTTACAAGTGATGTACCTGTCCGAGTTCCTCGGATTTAAGATCAGCATAGGCTCCAGGGGTGTCGATGAAAGTAACTATCGGGAAACCGTGATGGTCTGCATAGTACATCATCCGTAACGCCTTCCTGTATCTGTTTTTACTCGTAAAAAAGATTAACGTTAAAATGCCCTCTTTCGACTACAACCAGTATAGATTCAGAAAGTTACCCGAGAAACGTTACCCGTGAGGAGTAGGCATTCCAAAGTTACGTTCGATATTCTCTTTGGTGTTTCTACCCTTTTGGTGACCTATAAACATGTATCTTTTTCCGTCTATAGTGCCGATACCCGTCACAATAGCAGGGTCATCGTACCCTGCTCGATCGCCATGAAGCTCGACGAACTGAATGCAACCCGAACAAATCGCAAGACGAAAGGATTTAGCCATATATCCGAAGAAAACCATCTGTAAGAATTTAGAAATCTTACCTTGTCCGTGATGTTAAACACATGGTCGAGGAAAGTTGGACGGTTAGGGTGGCGCGCAATGTGCACGCGTTGTATCGGAGTAAGATGTGTGTAAAGATCTTTGATTGCCTGAAAATCGTAAACCGAAAAATCAAAAACAGACCCTATAACGAATGATGCCTAAGCTCATGTAATAAGCAGACAACCAAAGGGTGACTTGTGAGTTGTTTTTTCTACCTGTCTGTACTTGTTCTCCAATGAGATGATCTGATCAGTGAAGTCCAAACCAGTTTCATCCGCCATCTTCCGCACCTGTATCAGAAACATTCTCGGGATCAAGAAAACTATATCTCGGTATAGTCACGGGAAATTGTGAATGCTGAATCGGTTAGAAGCTCGTACGCCGACAATCTTCTTCTCCAACTCGAGGAGGGGTTTCTCAAATTCCAAAGTTACCATCTTTGGCCTATCATTCAGCGGCTTGAAAGTCGAAAGATATGTCAAGATTCCGCCTTTCACATTCGGGTCAGGATTTTCCGGCCACGGGTACTCGAATTTTTTGACTTTCCTGAGCCGAGCCGTCACGGATAAATCCTTCCTCCTAGTGAAAACCTTTGCCCTCCCTAGGGTTTTCAGTGAGATCCCACTAACGCCATTGCAAGAACCTCGCAGAAAATCTGAAGCAGAACTTCCTCCCAGTGCCACCGAGGAATGAGATATGGACGCCATTTATTGAATATCTGAGCTCTACCTTTCAATCACTCGGAGGGAAACACTCCACCAGAACTAACAGAATCACGGGAGAAAAGAAAATCCCCTCTAAATGGACAAATCCGACAGGACAGAAACAGAAAAAGACAGATTAGGTCGTGGGTTTGACAGTCAAGCAGAATGAAATCGAAACACATTAGATTTCTGTTCGTCTTCTACACAAAACTAAGAACTGGTTCGCAAATCGAACTGCTAATTAATTGAGAAATCATAGTGCAGTGCACAAAATATCCGTCTTTTTTCCCTGCCCGTTTTCACAAAACAACAACCCATTGCCTAAAACCTCAATTCCAGCCGTAGAGATGAAACAAAAAGCCAAAGAAGATCGAAGCTTTCATCAGAGAAAAACAAAACCCACCTCGGAAAATCCCAGGAAACTCACCTGAAACGAGGAGAATTGGAGATCCGGGAGGAAGAAAGAGCGAGGCGGGATGAAATCAGAAGGGGACGAAGGAGAGGAGAGAAACCATCGATGAGATCGCTAATGGGTTTTGGTATGAATTGAGCGAGAGAGTGATTGGTCGTGTCTCTGTGTGCGAGAGAGAGAGAGAGAGAGTTTAGACTTTGTCGAAGAGTTTCGATATTTCTTATGCAGATTTGGGAAACATGGAAGGCTTATAACTCGCCAGCTTTTTCCGGTTTGGTCGTTAAGCCTTTAGGCCATCGCTCTTTGCCACGTGTGCAGGTCTCGCACGTGTGACATACCCCCTTCAATTGTCTTCCTTAAATTTTCCTTAAAACAGTATTTTGTCTATTTTTTATTTTCTCATTCATAGATCTAGAGATGGAGAAAGGGTGGGATAAAATATAATTCAATGAATTTATCATTAATGTTAGACTGGCTCTAATTTTTTTTCTCCATATTTTCTTTTGGAATTTACAGTCAAATTCTTTGTTGTGATTAAAAGTTTGTAAAAAGTCTTATACAAACTCCTAATCCCAAGAGGTGAAAACATAAAATGTTCATCTCTCATCTCGCTTTCAAGGCATTGTGCTGAAGCTTTTGGAAATTTATGGAGGAGCAAATTTCCTACTTTTTACAAAAAAAGTAGTATTTTATCTATTCATAAACATGTTTTCTATTAATTTTGAAAAATAATAACAATAAGCATCTACAAAATTTGGAATTGAATGAATTGGGTAACGTGAGGTATCAAAAGTTTTAACCTTGGGGTAAAAAAGTTTGCCCTTTTTAGTCTTGGGATGTGAAAGACAATGTGTACTACTCTCCTTCTTTTGCACATGACCAAACCACTCATGTCTTGATGAATGTAAGTGAAATCCATAAATATTTTGGGAGTTGGGTAAGTGAAATCCGATCATATCCCAAGGAAGCGATGATGATGATGATGATCGGAGCCAAATACATGTAAACATCAAAATGTGATCATCCATACATATCTTACCTCACAGATTGGATGAAACCCGACCAATGTCCTCCCTTGTTTCGAAGCAGATTCATCATCTGATCTTACAAACGTCCAGTATTGTGTGGCCATTAACTTCCTTTCCTTGCCTCTTTAAGAAATCTTATAAATTAAAGTCTGAATACATATATCTTTTGAAATGTATATAACTAACAAGACATTGAGTATAACAAAACTTGTAGAGATCTGAGTACTAATACTGCAAACAAATGAAAGCACCCATAAGCAAAACCTTTGGACCCCAAAATTGAAGGATTTTTCTTTCTTCTTTTTCAAATCAAAGACTCCTACACTCAAACTATATAAGCATATATATAGAGAGAGAGAGAGAGCAATAGAGCTTCACTTGGCTTTTCCAGACTTTGAGGAGGAACCCTTCTTCTTGTTGATACTTTTCTTAGGTTTCAACTTGTCTTGGCTTTTTGGTCTCCTTCTCTCCTTCTTCACGTTATACATGTTTATGGCCTGCGATTCGTTTTCAACACAAGCATTCAAACAAAAATTATCTAAACTTATCAAACACAGATAGATCCAAAGTTTTGATTTTGAGTTCCTCAAAATTTTGTTTATATTACCTTATCGACGTTGAGAATCTCATGGGAGTGTTTCGAGATGATCTTGCTAAGCACTTTATCTGTCTGTTCCTTCTCCTGCAATCCCATCCCAGATCCTTCCACGACCGGCAAATACTGAACAGAATCACATATTCACACAAGTCAGAAAATCAGTGTTCTTTCTTCCCACAAGAAGCCATAACACCAAACTTATGATCGATGGTTTAAGATTTAGAGATCAGGGTTTAGGGATCCTCCATAAACGATACGGTGGTTTCATTAAACAATGGGTCGGAACAATCCGCACCAAATGAGCAAAATATTTGTGTAAATACCTTGTGATGTTTGCCTAGCTTTTTAGGAGGCTTTTCTCCGGGTAATTTCTTATCGAATTTCCCACCACTAGCCGTCGAAGTAGCTGCCAAACCAGCTGCATTTCCCAGTTCTTCTTTTCCAACTTTCTTTGGTTGAGTCTGTGTTCCAGTTATGGGCAACGCAGTAGCAGCAAGTCGGACATGGCTGCAATATAACAAGGACTGTTTAAGGTATGTCTATATGAGAAGCGTGAAATTCGTAGGGTATGATAGTTGCAAACAAAAAGCTTAGATCAGACACATCCTGAATACAAAGGATGATTGTATAGTAAAAGGGAAACCGAAACAGAGATTTAAAACTTACAATGCATGTGTACACTAGAAAGGTGTTAAATTTATTTACTTACTGCTATTAAGAACCAGATCAGCTAGAATAACGACCACGGAAAAACGCCTCAATGTGAAATGTACTTAAGGACAATTCCAATGCAAATTTTGGTTCAACAAGAGCAGATCTTTCGGTATATTATATGTGCTTGATGTACACAAAGAGAATTGAGTAGAATATATGTGAAATGCAAAAAACAGCATACCTTGGTAAAGCACCGATTTTCGAAGCTGCCTTCAAGTTTTGCAAGCGGTTCTTCTCTTGCTTTTCAACTCTCTTTTTTTTCTCTCCCTGTCTCTTAGCGAAAGGATCTTCTCCTGGTTCTGCAGTAAAACCAGAGAATTTCAGAACAGAAGAAAGGTTTCTACCTATTAACCCTTTTATTTCTGCCCTCCCTCTCGGAAATAACAGATTGAACTCTCTCTTTCTGTCGACATTTTTAGATATGCTTCCTCAAAAGAATAACATACGAAGTGGTATGAAATGAATTACCATCCGTGGGCTTTGCATCAATAATAGGAACATCATTATCATCATTAACACGGTCGTAACCATGTCGGCGTTTCCATTGATCAGTTTGCTCATCCCATACAACCTTGTCTTTCTTGCGTTTCTGTATACCTGTGAAACACAATAAAAGAAATTAGCCACGAAAACAAGATCAAATATGAAGAAAACCTGAGATGATGAACCAGCTACCAAGTTCGAAATAAACAGGACCAAGCAGGCTGTTCTCGATGGAAACCAGAGAACAGCAATTAAATTACCTTTCTTCTTAGCAAATTCTTCCCACTTTGTAAGAGGCTTAGGCTTCGGAAGCTGAAAAACAAGATAGGACGTCGTGACATGTCTATCAAGTTTTATATGTTGTTAACAATTTGAAATGATCTCAAAACAGTAATCTAGAATCACATTTTGAAAATGTTTCAAGACATGCCTTGTCAGCAAACTTCCAAATGCTATTAGCTATACATTTCCAGAGACATGAAAATTCTGATATTTTATGGTAAGCACTGATATGAACAAAAGCTAAACTTTTACAGAACATAGGCATAGATTTATATAAAATCCTATTACATTTGATGAGTGGTTCAAGAACTACAAAAGAATACAAAGGTGTTCCATGTTGTAGTTGATCGTGACATAGAACTAGGAAGAAACGAGAAAGTAACACATAAAAGGATGAACTTACATGCTTCTCCCGGGGAAGTTTCGTTGTAGGCGGAGGCAACGGTATGAGAGGACCATCAACAGTTTCGGTAGAAGGCAAGTTAAAAAGACGGTCAGCTATTGCCTGAACGAGCTTTGTTCCCTCTTTAACGCATTCCTTTGCAAGTTCATCCCTTGAAAAACCAAGAAGTCACAATCAAGGTACATAACTAGTATAACCTCCCACTTAGAAGGCAGTCTCGAATCTCCCTAATTACAGAGCATAGCCACAGATTTTAATGTTCAACTGCTAAAACGAAATATAGCAGAACCAGACCAGAGCAAGGTAGCTAAAATCTGCAATGAAATTTCATCAATGATAACTGTGACTATAGGTAATCAGACATGATTTCAGAGATAGAAAATGAGTTAATCCAACTGAAGAAAGATACCCAATGCGTGAATTAAAGCCCCGGACTCGGGAAACCACAGGTGAGTCGAGTTCAACTCAAATTCAGGCAGAACACAAAGCCAAGTCAAACCCATCTGTTTAGCCAAAGATACTATTACCATTTCATATCCTATTTCTTCACCACAACAACAAAATCATCAAAGAGAACATCAGAAATCCAAGTTGTGCTGGTTAGAACAAGCACAGGAAAGGTGCACCATTGGAAATCCCAACATCTTCCCCCTCAGTCATCAACCACCACAGAGACCCGAAGCGAATGATCTCCAAAATCGGTTTAGGTAAATGCAAATTCTCGTTTTCCTCTTCAGCAACAACGAACCGTACAAGCGATAACGACATAAACCCATCTCAGATTCATAAAAAACACGGTGAAATATTCATCGAACAGAAGAATCAATTCATCAAAGAGCTCGCTCCACAGTACACGAATCCAGTATTACAACACAGGAGAGGAGGAAATAGACAAACCTTGAAGAAGGAATAGAAGGAAACCGGTGGTTTGGATTGAAGGCCATAAGATTTCCGACATCTATCTGATAAAGCGTGTCTTTCTCCGTCTCCATGTCTCTTCGTCTCTCTTTGCACCTTGACTCAGAGGTGGACGAACGAGCGAGGAAGGTTTGTTAGGGTTTTCTGGGATTTCCAAACTAGACCGTAAAGCAGCTGATGACTTGAAACGCAAACGCAGAATGAGCGTTTCTTAAAATTGCAAACGCAAAAGCTGGGGTGGCTCACCTAAGAAATTGCCGTGTATTTGTAATCCCTGATTCCCAATAGCTTCTTTTCCCTTGTAAAAAAATAAAAATAAAAATAAAAATACAATGTTAACCGGTCTATTTTGTTTTTAAAACGGCATGTATGGTTTGAAATCAGCATCAAAACGGCACGCAGTTAATATCTAGAAAGTAATGGGCTTAGATCTGGTTTGGAGAATAAAAGGCCCAAAATCTTGGCCCGACAACTACTAGTCTTGTAATGTCACGAATCAATATTATCTTCGCTCCCAAACAGACTAGGGTTTAGTGTTTGGATGCATTTTCCTCAAGCTCGATGGTTCTTATCGTAGATCGTACGTTGTTTTATTTTCCCTTCGACGATTACCCAAAACCCTTCTGAATTTTCGTTGAATTGCTTGCTATTTTCTGATCGATTTTATAGGGTTTCTGGGTTTTTTTTCCTCTGTCAATCGAAAGTTGCCTCATTTTTTTTGTTCTCAAATTTTTGTTCTTTTTTCTGAAATTTTTTGGAATGGTGCATCGATGATGAATCGTTGAAACTTGTTATCCTTGCACTTTGATTGGCAGTGAAGAAACCAATGGGGTTTTCATTTCTGAGATGCTCATTCTGCTCTATGGTTTTATCTTATTCTGGTTTTTGAAGCTCTGATCCAGTTTTACAAATCCGGATCAATGATATTGTGTTCTTCTTGCAGGTTCTTCTTCTCGGCCAAGAGTTCCATCGGGTCCGTGATTGTTACTTCCACACGAATCCATTCTCTTTCTTCGCTTTCTTCTTGTACTTGATCCTTCTCTCTCGCGGAAATTTCCCTTGTGATAGATTCGGTTATTCTCCGACGAAGATCGTCTGACTTGGTCGTGTTCGAGTTCCATCCTTGGCGACATGTCTTGGTACCGAAGAACTAAGCTCGTCTTCAATTCCCTGCGAAGCAATATTGCCTCGCATCGTCCGAGGATTATTCCGGAATCTCCATATTCCAATACTTTTTCTCGGATTCATCAAAATGGGTCTTCGAATTCCTCAGTTAAGTTTCCTGGGTTCTCTTTAGTTTCTTCGCACAAAGTAGGTTTAGGCTTGTGTAACTCTCTCGGGAAGACGAACGCGAGTGCTTGTAACCTCTTCCTGAGCGGTCCGAAGAGATTTTATTACGTTGATCGTAACCAGGTTCATCATTTCAAGCCACGGGGACCGAGACGGTGGTTCCAAAACCCTAGGACCGTGTTGACGGTAGTGCTTGTGGGTTCTGGGGTTCTGATAACCGTGTATTTTGGGAATTTAGAGACTGTTCCTTACACGAAACGGAAACATTTCGTTCTTTTGTCGAGATCGATGGAGAAACAGATAGGTGAATCTCAGTTTCAGCAAATAAAATCCGGGTTCAAGGGGAAAATACTCCCTGCGATTCATCCTGAGAGCATTAGGGTTAGGTTGATTGCGAAGGATATAATTGATGCATTGCAGAGGGGTTTGAGCCACGAGCGTGTGTGGAGCGACTTGGGGTATGCATCCATGGATGGTAGCTCTATGAATAATGAGAGGGCAGTGAAAGATACAGTAATGGCGCTGAGTGAGAATGCAAGCGAAGGGACAATGAGTGGGATGAAGTGGTCTAAAGAAGATGAGATTCTGGATGACAAATGGATTCAGCAAAGCAGGAAGAAGGGTAAAGAGAAAGGGTCACACCCAGCGACTTCTCACCTTGAAGGGTTGAATTGGGAGGTCCTTGTGGTTAACGAACCGATGGTCAATGCGTTCTGCTTGCCTGCTGGGAAGATTGTCGTGTTCACTGGTTTGCTCGAACATTTCAAGACAGATGCTGAGATTGCCACTGTAATCGGGCATGAGGTATTATTGTCATGATCTCTCGTGTGTAATATGGTATCATTGTCCACAATCCAAGATTGATTCTCGGCTGATGTTTTTCTGTGCTTCATTCTCTGATTAGGTCGGTCATGCTGTTGCACGGCATGTTGCAGAGGGAATCACGAAGAACTTATGGTTTGCGATCCTCCAACTGGTTCTCTATCAGTTCGTCATGCCCGATCTTGTTAACACAATGTCTGCACTTTTCCTGAGACTTCCTTTCTCCAGAAAGTAAGTCACTTTCCCCCATCTTTTCAAAACATCACAATAGCAGTAGCCCCCTTGAATCTTGATGTTATCTTGCTTCCGACTCCTGTTTACTCCTCCGTCGTGGAACGAGGCTTAAGCCTGAAATATTTACCTATGAGGATTGAGGAAAGCGAGTTTTGGGATTACTTTTTCTCATCCATTAAGGTTCAGCTTCGCGTTCTTCATGTGACTCTCGGATCATTAAGCATTTGCCCGGGTCGCTTTCAGGATGGAGATAGAAGCGGACTACATCGGTTTGCTCCTGCTGGCGTCAGCGGGGTACGATCCACGAGTAGCACCCAAAGTGTACGAGAAGCTGGGGAAGCTGGGGGGAGACTCGTCTCTACGGGATTACCTTTCGACGCATCCCTCGGGGAAGAAGAGGGCTCAGCTGTTGGCTCAGGCTAATGTCATGGAAGAAGCCCTCATTGTTTACAGAGAAGTTCAATCAGGCCGTGGCATTGAAGGCTTTCTTTAGATCCCTTCTTCTTCTTCTTCTTCTTCTTCTAACTTTCAATATGTATGTGTACAAATTTACTTTCCGGGGCTTTGATTTCTCACAACTTATGGTGACAAGGTTGAAAAAGGGGAAAAAAAGTTTAAGTGTTGCCTTACATTATTCAAAGTTTCATGTGGCAATAAGAATTTCATTTTGATTTAAGAATATGAATTATAAATTCAGAAACCAATTAAATTACATTTAAAATTTTAAAAATAATAAAATGGTTTAAAATCTGCTATATTTTTAGACGGCCCGAGATGTACGACGGGTTATTACCTATAAAAAAATAAAATGTTGCCTTACATTATTCAAAATTTCATGTGGCAAATAAGATGCAACATAAATTATTTCGTTAGAAGAAGCTTATAACAATGATAAACTGCACATGTATATGTAATGGTTGATATCGTGTATCTGCCGTCCGATTCCGATCCAACGGACAACAATGAATCTAGCAGATCCAGTCGTGCTTTGGCCAACCGGCAAGAAATCGGGGAATTATTCCTTTAATGCCACGTGTCGGTGGCTGAGAGGATGCTGATCTATGTGGCGGGGGTACGTGTCATTTCATTTTTGCCGGCAAATCTAAGTTGGTTCACATGATAGCTATTTTATTTGAATATGTCTTTTTATTTTATAATAAGATTTTCATTAAAAAAATATATATATAGTTGTCCATAAGATAACAAGATTATATCTATTATATTTTGATTTTATTTTTATTTAGAATTACGATAATTAATAAAATTATTAATTTTTAAATTTGAGATGTTTTTTTTATTATTTTATATTCTATTCGAATTCAATTAATTTAGTTCAAAAAACATATTTTCAGCCAGTTTTCAAAATTAAAACCAATTTAGATATACTTATGTATTATTCAAATTCATTTAAGATATCTGTCGGTTAAACCCAAAAAGTTAATTTGAAGTTTATATATGACCTGATTTTTAGGTAAATATTGTACAGGTTTAAAAATCGTTATTGTGGTGTATTAATTTACATTTACATATAATAAAATTGAATGGGATGAATTGAATTGTAGGTAAATGCAAATTGTACATGGTTTTTCAAGCGATTACACAATTTTCAAAATACAATCATATGAAAATGAAATTCCATATGACGCTTTTGATTTAAATAATGAAAATTTTAATTCATTTTATAACGTTATTTCCTTTTCTTTTAAAAGTTGTAATGATAGCAACTAAGGGGAAATTGGCACGTGGTGCCGTGGCAGATGTGTCGTGCTAACGTATGTAGTGGGCAATCGGACGGTCAATTGCAATAATTATGAAACTAAAAAGAGTACATAATTATACAATACATTATTTAGATTCCTCATTAATAGATGTGCATGTAACGTAGTTATGCGTAATTAATGTGTATATTCTGTTATAAAAAAACTAATATTATGAGTTTCATAATTTTTAGTAGTTCCGAAAACTAATTAAAACGAAATCGATCATCGCAATATTCCTCCTTATTTTATTTCATTGTTTTTTTTTCTTTATTGACAGTTCTATATCACGTTAACAGTGATATTATATATCACTTTTATAACTTTTAAAACCCAAAATATATATCTGGTATAATCATCATCATCATCAACCGACCAAGTTTTATAAGGCATTGTCGTTTAGTTGCTTGTAAAATTGTTCATTCACGTGTAATGGAATACCTCGGGTCACATTTTTCTTCACATTGCCTAACTTTATACATTTTTATTAATTTATTACAATTAGTTGCTTAAGTAATCTACTTTTTTTTAAGTTGCTTGTAATTAAGTTGACATGGCAAATAGTGTGAGAGTCTCCCTTATCCTATATATATATATATATATGAATAATTGGACCGACGTTAGGAAGATCCATAAAATTTGCGGATACGTATTTTCTTGATGTTGTTAAATGTATTTTCAATAAGGTATAAAATATGCATCGCATTTTGCTCACGTATCTTATATCTGTGCAATGCATGCATGCATGGTTGTAATTCCAAATGTCATTTCGCACGTAAGTACTTTGACGGATGTAATTCATAATTATTTCTAATTCGGTTTTATGCTTTAGTGTAATCTTATTTAGTCATTTTTAGGTAAAACGCTAAATATTACATGGCATGTAGAAGCAAGTTCGAATGTGAAATTGAGGACGTTAATAAATCAAAGCTTCCCTTTTTTTCCCACGTTGATTTTGTTTAACAAAAATAAATAAATTAAAGCTATTAGTTTTATACAAAAAGGGTAAAATAAAAATGAAACAAGGATATACATATATATATATATATAGTCCTGATATATAAAAATAAAGAATCAATCTCATCCATTTTATACTTTAACCCCTTTTGTTCCTAAAAATAAAACATTATTATTATTCGCTACAGACCGCGTTTCCAATTTCGACGAAACAGAATATTGTATTTCTATACACCTTTTTATAATAAAAAAAAGAATATTGTATTTCTAATTTGTGTTTATTGTTATTTTTCATTTTTAAAAATAAAAAGTAACATCCGCTAACGTTTATTTTATAGAATTAATCTTAATAATTAAAATAAGCTTTTATAAAAAAATAATCAAATTCACATCTAATAAAACCAAATTTATATATGATAATAGATATAATCACGGGCAGATATAATCCCGGTGAAAATAATTTCGGAATTCACCTTTAAATTAATCCGTCATAGAATTTTTTTTTTGACGAATGTGAAACATAATAATTTATACTGGTATATGTTAACCGCTAAAAACAATCAGTAAAATTTGTCTTAAATATACGATCGATATATTGGTCGAAAGCATAGCGACGAACTATCTATAACGATAGAAATGTTCTGTATAGTTCGATTATGATATAAAAAAAAATTAAAATACAACAGAAGAAAAAGAGAAATGCATAATTTTTGGATTTTAAATTTGTCGAGGAACAGTTCTAATTTTTAAAACGAAAAAATTAAGTGAAAAAATGAAACATAAAGAGAGAATATATTTTTTTGTTAAATAAAAGAGATAAATGGGACAATTTAATTGGTTGTAACTTGCAAGTTTACTGTATTTATGTGTCGGGGCTGTCTGAATCTTCGGGCATGTCCAGGTAAGTTTCACTGCATTTATGAGTTGGGGCTGTTAGAATCTTTGGACACATTCAAGTAAATTTCAGAATATCAAACAATAAAATCTGAACTATACATAATTACATATACACATATGATATCATTCATTCACCTTCCAAAGGATTTAGAATTACCGTAAAAATAATATTCTTTTTTATCCAAAACAATTTTATTTCTCAGAATATATATTAAACATGTCATATCCTTTTTCAATTGAAAAAAATCAAGATATCCCATAAAACAATATTCGTTTCGTTGTATCCAAATCAAATATATTTTATTTCTAACCATATCATCGTACGTATACATGTGTGTATATATAGTGTGTCTGTCTACGTAACGAAACAGAGAGATTCGGCGCCTCAGCTTGGCCGAGGATTGCGGTGGCTGTGGAGAAGAAAACCATAACATCACCTACTCACACACAGAAAACAAAAAAAAAAAAACCATTTTTTTTCTATCGGAGGCGCAAAAAAAAACTTTTTTTTGTTGCTCTGTTTCTGCGATCCGTTACTTTTCCGGCGACGACATGTCGACGGCGAGTACGAACAACCCTTTGGTCGTCGCGTCGATTCCTGCGGTACCCACTACCACGCGCCGCCGTGTCGGAGATTCGCTGGACTTTTCCTCCTCTGAGCGACTCTCCAATTCCTCCGATTACTGCAACGTAGTTAATATCTCCGGCGTCGACGTCGCTGGTGGAGGAGGCAGCAACGCCGTCGTTTCGATGGATTTGGACGGCGGAGATATTGCCGGAGTTCAAGGCGACGCATGCGTATCTCCTTCCTCCTCTGCCGGTTCATCGTCTAGTGGGTCCCACTACCACCACGACCACTACCACCAGTTCCATAACCACTTCCCGGCGATTCGGTTACTGCTCCTCCGCAAAATACGGATTCCGTTCTTCGGCGGAGGATCGACGGCTACGATCGGGCAAGGGTTCAGATCGGGGAGGCACGTGGGCCGTCGGATCTTGGCTTTTCTCGTGGCTTTCATCGTCGCTTCGGTGTTTTTCAAGGTCGCGTTCATGGGGGTTGGGCGCGTAGAGGACAACGCGCGCAGGAGGGACCTGAACGAGATCGTCTTCGTACGGACGTTCCGTGAGGATTGGACCATGGCTCAACGCGCTGTCGAGGAAAACGATGCTTCTTCCAAGGCAATGCGTGTCCTCGAGAGATTTCCCGTAAGTTTTTTTTCCTTGCGTTCTGCGTTCATTTTCTGTTTGTTTCCCGATAAAATTTTCAGGATCATCGTCTGGCTTACCCTGGCTTCCGTGCAATCAATCGCCCGTTAAAGCAAGCAAATTTCGCCATCACTTTCGTCTTTGGGTTATTCTCCGTAATCGGCCATCTTCTCTTTAGTCGATGCTGATCTTATTTTCTGTTTGTTTCCCGAGAAAAACATCCCAACCGATTTCCCTATTCGATTCTCTGTGAGAAAACCTGAGGGAGAATGTTGAAGAATCTCAATCGACGATTTGAGACGACTGTCGAAGAATCATCATTCTCCGCGGGCGTATTCTCACACTTCCATTCCATTGGATGAACAGTTTTCATTTTGTGGACTTTGAGGAGAAAAAGTCGATGAATTTGGCGTTGTCGTGGGTCATCATGCCATCACTTTTCCATACAAAAATTCCGTTCGACTTTCATTTTTTTTTTCTGGATGATTGAGAAATTGTTATCCAAATCCACGAGTGATGCATGAAGTGACCCTTCATAGTTTGTGAAGAGAACAGTGATAAAGTCGCAACCTTTTGGTTCTATCTGCAAGTTCCAAACAAGTTATTCATCACGTGGTTAATTGAAGTTTCTTGTCTTTTTCTGTAAGGATAATGTTTTTTTAGCATTGCATTCAAAAGATTTAGAGATGGGAACTGTAAAAATCCAATCTCTTCCTTTTTGAATCAGCAATGCTTGAAGATTGAATCTCTCTCTTTTGATCCATAGATTCCAGAAATCTGGAGGAAACCGGAAACCGGAAATTATAGCCAATGTGCATCGCGTCCCAAGAACAACCTCAGTATGTTACTATGTATTCCTCTTTCGTCGGAAATCATGCTTTCAGCTTCAAAGAAGTTGTCTGAATCCTGGAAACTGATATAACCCTTTTTGTCTAGGGATGTCCCGGAAAACCAACGGCTATCTTCTGGTTCATGCCAATGGAGGACTGAATCAAATGAGAACAGGGGTGAGAGTCTATCTCCCGAAAGTTTGGATCTTTAGATTCTCGCGGTTAAAGGTAATTCACTGTTTGTGTTTGGATCGTTCGTTATGAACAGATCTGTGACATGGCTGCAGTAGCCAGAATCATGAATGCAACTCTTGTTCTTCCACTTCTTGACCATGAATCTTTCTGGACTGATCCCAGGTCGCATCCCTATCACACTTTTACACGAAAAACCAACATATTTGTGATGAAAGAAACTGGAATGTGAACAAGTGTCCTGTCTCTTTTTGCAGTACCTTCAAAGATATTTTCGACTGGAGACACTTCATGAACGTGATGAAAGACGATATCGACATTGTTGAGTACTTGCCTCCTCGTTATGCTGCGAAGAAGCCTCTTCTCAAGGCTCCGGTTTCATGGTCAAAGGTTTGTGCTTTACATTAGGTTCTTCTCCACCATGAAAGAGTAAAGCATTACTGTTAATGCTCAACTCGATTTGCAGGCTAGTTACTACAGAGGCGAGATGCTGCCATTGTTGAAACGGCACAAAGTTATGAAGTTCACTCACACTGATTCACGTCTGGCTAACAATGGCTTGCCACCATCAATTCAACGGCTGAGATGTCGGGCGAATTACCGGGCACTCAAGTATACAAGAGAGATTGAAGATCTTGGGGAAGTCTTGGTTAACCGGTTAAGGAACAACAGCCAGCCGTACATCGCTCTGCATTTGAGGTATAAACCCAGATCAAAAAATCTCCGGGGAAGCTGTCTCTCATACCCTGGAACTGAATGAAAAAAACGAGGTTTTAAACATTGCAGGTACGAGAAAGATATGCTCGCCTTTACCGGCTGCAGCCATAACCTTACAGCCGAAGAAGCTGAGGAGCTGAGAATAATGAGGTACAGTGTTAAACATTGGAAGGAGAAAGAGATTGACAGTAGAGAAAGACGGATACAAGGTGGATGCCCAATGTCCCCATGGGAGGCAGCTATGTTTCTCAAGGCAATGGGCTATCCATCCTCCACAACTATATACATAGTTGCTGGCGAAATCTATGGGAGCCACAGTATGGAAGCATTTCGCAGGGAGTACCCTAACGTTTTCTCTCATTCAACCCTAGCTACCGACGAAGAGCTAGAGCCATTTAAGCCATACCAGAACCGCCTTGCCGCTCTGGACTACATTGTTGCTCTTGAAAGCAATGTTTTCGTGTATACTTATGACGGGAACATGGCTAAGGCGGGACAAGGGCATCGTAGGTTTGAAGGGG